TCAGAAACACCAACATACAGATTGACTTTTCTGGGTTCTGTTTGAAATTCAAAACAAAAGGTACCACCTCAAGAAGGCCGCATCCTACAACGGGCGAAACGTTGAGAATGTGATCATAGAGGTTAGGAGAACAGTCCGAAAAATGTAAATAGTGTAAATGCTAATTTCTGGTACGTTCTTTAACACTCCAATCTATCACCTGGATAATGGTATCCCAGTTATATCAAATGTGATTAGCGCTTAAACAAGTGATTTCGTTTCACACGTGACTGAAATAGTCGTGTTCGGGAAGGTGACATTTCAATGCATCTTTGTATACGTTTCATGGTTATATTCTGAATTTTAAACACTTTACTTTAAAAGGGAAAACGAGGCTTCTTTAATCCCAAAAAGGAAGGAAAAGCCCTTGCAAACAACAAAAAAGGTATATGCCGTTGATAGGCATGGTGTCATAGCTGAGAGCATTTTTCGAAATTGGTCGCTCGATTCAAAATTGGAAAATTTGATCAGGAAGCACGAGAAGATTCCATCAAGTCTGAAGTCGCAATGGTACTTCACGTATCTCATATGACATTTGTTAAGTATTTGAAAACAGTTTGGGATGATTTTTGGGTGCTTCAAGATTTATTAAAGAATGTATGGAACGCACTTCCATTAGCGACTCTCTACCCAAGCATAGCAAAAATGATCACTTTTCAAAAGAACTATCACAAACGATGAAAAGTGGATTGCTTACAACAATATGGAGCGAAAGATTTCTTGCGGAATACGAAATTAACCACTGTGTAAGGCAGAAAAGTCCGGTCTGCACCTGAAGAATATGTTGCGGCTGAATTGGAAAGGTATTTTATTTTACGAGAATCTTCCGAAAAATCAGACGATCATTTCAGGCACGTATTCTTCAAAACAGGCCATATTAAAGGCAGCAATCGATTAAACTGTTACAAAATTGACCAATCAGAAGGTTGCAATCTTCAATAATAACAACGCCAGGCATCACGTTTCTTTGTGGACTCGTCAAATGTCGGTCCAGCTAGTCTGGGTTGTTCTATTATATCTGACATACCCACCTGAAAATGCTATCACTTATTTCGATCTATACAAAATTTTCTTGAAAGCCTGTGAAAACACTTAGACCACTTCATCAACCAGAAACTTACCAAGTTCTAGGAGGATGGAATCATGAAGCTGCATCAAATAAGACGAAATATAGTGGGAAAATGGTATATATGTAGTTGAGTGTACAAATACTTCAATATTGTCATTGAAATTAACTTAAAAATACTACCCACTTTAAAAAAATAAATTATCCCAAATCTAATTCTCCCGAATGTTTCAACAGCAATATCCTGGCGTATTGGTATGTCGCTTATCTCCAAGACCGAGTTTCAAAATCGGGACAAGATTTACTTCATACCGTCTACTTTAGCGTAACAAAACTAACCAATGACAAAATATTGACATTAGGAACACATGCTGAAAACAGTTATTTGTTCTTCCAATTTGTCAAAATCCATATTTAATGAATAAACCCCCGAAAAGTATTTCTTCAGAGTCATTAAAGAATTTTAAATTGGGGAGTAACTCTTTGATGGAATGGTATGTATGGTTCAATGTTCCGTTTGATTCCTCTCGGTCGGATCAAGAGAAGATCCAGACCCCATTGTATATAATAAAATTGTTAGTGTTTTAAAAGGAATATATATATATATATATATATATATATATATATATATATATATATATGTATATTTTTTTTTTTTAGTATGGTAGTTTTTTTCAATTTCACGTAATCAAGGCAATAAGATGTAAACGGTTACTGAGAAGGAATTAAACTTTATTGACTAGAAAGAACAATAAAAGAATAACTGTAAAAAATAGTAAATTTCGATTGACGCCATATTTAATTTTTTGAAGATCCTAGTTGAAAGAAAAGCAAAAAGCCTGACTTATAATCTATTGTTAACTAGGTCTAAAAATCGGTTTTTAAATTTTACACCTCCAAAACTAAAATGTTCTCTTAATCGTCTTAGAGGACCTGTTTTGTATTTCATCAGTATGACTGATGCTAACCTCCAGAATTGTAGCTCATTTCGCCTTTTTGTTCCAACATTTTCTACTTACACGAATTGGATCGATCATATTAGGTTTCCTGCTAGAATATTTGGATCAATGTTTCATGCCAGACAATTTTGTCGTCAGAATACATCTTGCGCATTTGTACGTCTGCCATTCGTCTATACATTGAAGATTATTGACACATCTTGTTTGGTGCTTCTGTTATGTATCTAGAGATTCTTAACAATCCGAAGAAGAATCTGCAATTTTATCTGTCTTAATTCGGTTCGTCTGCTACAATCATTTTACCAATTCTATAACGTAGCTTTCTTGTGCAGTTTCTATATTTTCATGGTAATTGTTCTGATAAGCTTTCTTCTTTGGTATCTCGACTTCAAGAATTTAAGCGTACAAGATTGACAACTACATCCCGGCATTTTACAATTTAAATTGTTAGATATTACCGTAAGTTCTACGCGAAAAGTTTCTTCTCTCGGACTCCGAAATTGTGGAACTGTTTTCCGGCTTCTTGCTTTCCAATCAACATTGATCATAAAAATTTTTAATGCAATATCAATCATTATGTCTTCTCAAATCCTTTTATTGTTCTTTGTAAGTAAATTTCTATCACACTCAGTAACTCCTTGCGTCTTAGTGGATTTATTCCCTTGCTTTTGGTAGGTGCTGACAAAACATAATTACAAGGGCTTTTTTTCTCCGAAACAAAGACATCTTTGTTTAAGAAAGCTTTGCATTTTCTACTTTCATTTTCACTTACTGCTACCTCTTCCAAATTGAAACCTCTCCTAGCAATCGTCCATCCAGATCAGACAGTCTAGGTGGAAACCATACCACAACCGCCTTTGTCTTTTCAATGCCGCCGTCATTAGCACCACCAAAGACGTCTCTTTTTTAGTCTACGCCAAGTATTGTCAGTTTATTATTGGTAAATCTCTTTCTATTTCTTGGTTTTGTTTACTATAAGTTGATTGTCTGCTCAGTTGATTATAAAACTCTGTCTAATGTCAAAGTGTCTCTGATTTTGATCAACTTGTTTCATCTCAGAGACATTCTCAGAGTCACTCTCTCTATTCTTTATTTGCATTCTCTCTCTCCTCTAACTTTTCCCCTTTCCTCCCTTTCTTCATACATTCTCTTTTTCCCGTCTTATATTCTTTTTTTTATTTCTTGATGCTGAGTCATATCTTTCTTCTCTTCCTCCCTTCACTTTTATTTCCTCCCTTTCTTTCTTTATTTCTTTCTTTATTTATTTGCTTCTTTCTTTCTTTCTTTCTTTCTCTGCTTCTTTCTTTCTTGCTTGCTTTCTTTCTGTCTTTCTCTGCTTCTTTCTTTCTTTCTTTCTTTCTTTCTGTCTTTCTTTCTTTCTTTGCTTCTTTCTTTCTTTCTCTGCTTCTTTCTTTCTTGCTTGCTTTCTTTGCTTCTTTCTTTCTTTCTGTCTTTCTCTGCTTCTTTCTTTATTTCTTTCTCTGCTTCTTTCTTTCTTTCTTTCTTTGCTTCTTTCTTTCTTTCTCTGCTTCTTTCTTTCTTTGCTTCTTTCTTTCTTTCTGTCTTTCTCTGCTTCTTTCTTTATTTCTTTCTTTGCTTCTGTCTTTCTTTCTTTCTTTCCTTCTTTCTTTCTGTCTTTCTTTCTTTCTGTCTTTCTTTCCTTCTTTCTTTCTTTCTTTCTGTCTTTCTCTGCTTCTTTCTTTCTTTGCTTCTTTCTTTCCTTCTTTCTTTCTTTCTGTCTTTCTTTCTGTCTGTTTGCATTTCGCTTTCTTTCCACTGTTTTAAGCCTTTTCTTTCTTTCATCTCCTTTGTTTCTCTCTGTTCTTCACTGCTCATCTTTCCCTGTTTATTCTCTTACTTTCTTTCTTTCTTTCTTTCTTTCTTTCTTTGCTTCTTTCTTTCTTTCTTTCTTTGCTTCTTTCTTTCTTTCTTTGCTTCTTTCTTTCCTTCTTTCCTTCTTTCCTTCTTTCTTTGCTTCTTTCTTTCTTTCTTTCTTTCATCTCCTTTGTTTCTCTCTGTTCTTCACTGCTCATCTTTCCCTGTTTATTCTCTTACTTTCATTCTTTCTTTCTTTCTTTCTTTCCTTCTTTCTTTCTTTCTTTCTTTGCTTCTTTCTTTCTTTCTTTGCTTCTTTCTTTCCTTCTTTCCTTCTTTCTCTGCTTCTTTCTTTCTTTCTTTCATCTCCTTTGTTTCTCTCTGTTCTTCACTGCTCATCTTTCCCTGTCTGTTTATTCTCTTTCTTTCTTTTCTTCTTTCTTTCTTTCTTTCTTTGCTTCTTTCTTTCTTTCTTTGCTTCTTTCTTTCCTTCTTTCCTTCTTTCTTTCTTTCTTTGCTTCTTTCTTTCTTTCTTTGCTTCTTTCTTTCCTTCTTTCCTTCTTTCTTTCTTTCTTTGCTTCTTTCTTTCTTTCTTTCTTTCATCTCCTTTGTTTCTCTCTATTCTTAACTGTTCATCTTTCCCTGCTTGTTTATTCTCTTTCTTTCTTTCTTTCTTTCTTTCTTTCTTTCTTTCTTTCTTTCTTTCTCACTGATTATCTTTTTATCTACGTATATACCTATCATGCTGGAGCACCTCGAGGTGGTGTAATGCTTAGCAAGCTTGTCTCGCTAGAACAATTACGACTGAGTACTGAGTTCGATTCTCACTGGGTTTCACCCCTAATTTCGGCCTTATGCCACATCTAAGCTGTGCTTGGAAAATCACTATACCTATCATGTTTATATTGGCAGAGGAAAATCGTTACGAACTAATTAATATGTAAAGAATTAGCCATACTTGTCAAATTCTTTGTTTGGGGAATTTAAACCAATGCTATATTATTTGGCAGATCTAAAAGAAGATTCGCCCGGCATAGTGATATTAATATGAGACACCCTGTCAGGATTTAACTCTCAGTACAGCTATAAACTTAACGCTAATAGCTTACTAATATTACTCTATGACAAGGTATTCTATTTGTGCGTTGTCGGGAAGGTGACTTCGCTATGTTACTGGCCTGCGGGCTCACAGCGTGCGTTTCCGTTGGAAACTTCTTGAAAACCATACCGCAGGTTGTTCTGAACTTTGTGAGGGAAATTGTCTAGACGGAACTTTTCGGAAACCGTCGACTGTTGGGGAATGGTGCCCGTGGATTTGAGTGTACTGGACTTGTTCAAATTGCCGATTACGCCAGATTATTCCCTCGCTATCTTTCACACGGTATTTCTTATTCCCTTTTTCTCAACCTAAATCTCTTTTTCTCTCTTTCTCACACTATCTCTCTCTTTCGCTTTCTCTCGCTTTCTTTCACCCGCTATCTCTCTCGCACGCTATCTTTCGTTCTCTCTCGCTCTCTCTCACCCTATCTCTCTCTCACCCAGTCTCTCCCTTTCGCTTTCTCTCGCTTTCTTTCACCCGCTATCCCTCTCGCACGCTATCTTTCGTTCTCTCTCGATCTCTCTCACTCTATCTCTCACTCACGTTATCTCTCTCTCACCCAGTCTCTCCCTTTCGCTTTCTCTCGCTTTCTTTCACCCGCTATCTCTCTCGCACGCTATCTTTCGTTCTCTCTCGCTCTCTCTCACCCTATCTCTCTCTCACCCAGTCTCTCCCTTTCGCTTTCTCTCGCTTTCTTTCATCCGCTATCCCTCTCGCACGCTATCTTTCGTTCTCTCGCTCTCTCTCACCCTATCTCTCTCTCACCCAGTCTCTCCCTTTCGCTTTCTCTCGCTTTCTTTCACCCGCTATCTCTCTCGCACGCTATCTTTCGTTTCTCTCTATCCTCTCTCACCCTATCTCTCTCTCCCCCCAGTCTCTACCTTTCCCTTTCTCTCGCTTTCTTTCCTCGCTATCCCTCTCCACGCTATCTTTCGTTCTCCTCGCTCTCTCTCTCCCCTATCTCTCTCTCTCCCAGTCTCTCCCTTTCCTTTCTCTCGCTTTCTTTCACCCCCTATCCCTCTCTCCTCCGCTATCTTTCGTTCTCTCTCTCTCTCTCCCCTATCTCTCTCTCACCCAGTCTCTCCTTTCCTTTCTCTCGCTTTCTTTCACCCGCTATCTCCTCTCCCGCTATCTTTCGTTCTCTCTCGCTCTCTCTCACCCTATCTCTCTCTCACCCAGTCTCTCCCTTTCGCTTTCTCTCGCTTTCTTTCACCCGCTATCTCTCTCGCACGCTATCTTTCGTTCTCTCTCGCTCTCTCTCACCCTATCTCTCTCTCACCCAGTCTCTACCTTTCGCTTTCTCTCGCTTTCTTTCACCCGCTATCCCTCTCGCACGCTATCTTTCGTTCTCTCTCGCTCTCTCTCTCTCTCTCTCACCCAGTCTCTACCTTTCTCTCTCCTTTCTTTATCTCTCTCTCCTCTCACGCTATCTTTCGTTCTCTCTCCCTCCACCCTATCTCTTTCACCCAGTCTCTATCTCTCTTTCACTCTATCCCTCTCGCTATTCTCTCTCCTCTCTCACCCTATCTCTCTCTCACCCAGTCTCTACCCCTTTTTCGCTTTCTTTCACTCGCTATCCCTCTCGCACGCTATCTTTCGTTCTCTCTCGCCCTCTCTCACCCTATCTCTCTCTCACCCAGTCTCTACCTTTCGCTTTCTCTCGCTTTCTTTCACTCGCTATCCCTCTCGCACGCTATCTTTCGTTCTCTCTCGCCCTCTCTCACCCTATCTCTCTCCCTTTTATCTCTCTCTCACCCAGTCTCTCCCCTTTCGCTTTCTCTCGCTTTCTTTCACCCTATATCCCTCTCCCTTTCCCTATCTTTCGTACTCTCGCTCTCTCTCCCTATCTCTCTCTCTCCCCAGTCTCTCCCTTTCCTTTCTCTCGCTTTCTTTCCTCCCTATCCCTCTCGCACGCTATCTTTCGTTCTCTCTCGATCTCTCTCTCTCTCCCTCGTTCTCTCTCTCTCCCAGTCTCTCCCTTTCCTTTCTCTCTTTTTTTTTTCTTTCACCCCTATATCTCTCTCCCGCTATCTTTCGTTCTCTCTCGATCTCTCTCCTCTATCTCTCTCTCACCCAGTCTCTCCCTTTCCTTTCTCTCCTTTCTTTCATCCCGCTATCCTCTCGCACGCTATCTTTCGTTCTCTCTCGCTCTCTCTCACCCCTATCTCTCTCTCACCCAGTCTCTACCTTTCCTTTCTCTCGCTTTCTTTCACTCGCTATCTCTCTCACACTTTATCTTTCGTTCTCTCTCTCTCCTCTCTCTCTCTCCCGTTATCTCTCTCTCCCCCAGTCTCTACCTTTCCCTTTCTCTCGCTTTCTTTCACCGCTATCTCTCTCGCACGCTATCTTTCGTTCTCTCTCGCTCTCTCTCCTCTCTATCTTTCTCTCTCTCTCCCCAGTCTCTCCCTTTCCTTTCTCTCGCTTTCTTTCATCCGCTATCCCTCTCTCACGCTATCTTTCGTTTCTCTCTCGCTCTCTCTCACCCCTCTCTCTCACCCAGTCTCTCCCTTTCGCTTTCTCTCGCTTTCTTTCATCCGCTATCCCTCTCGCACGCTATCTTTCGTTCTCTCTCGCTCTCTCTCACCCTATCTCTCTCCCCAGTCTCTCCCTTTCGCTTTCTCTCCTTTCTTTCACCCGCTATCTCTCTCGCCCGCTATCTTTCGTTCTCCCTCGCTCTCTCTCACCCTATCTCTCCCTCCTTTCTCAGCTTTCTCACCCCTTTCCCTTTCTCTCTTTTTCTTTTTTCTCTCCTATCTCTCTCTCCTTCTATCTTTCGTTCTCTCTCCTTTCGCTCTCTATCTCTCTCCTCCTCTATCTCTCGTTCTATTATCTCTCTCTCTCTCTCCCAGTCTCTCCCTTCTCTCTTCTTTTTCACTTTCTCTATCTCTCTCTCACCTCTATCCTTCGTTCTCTCGCTCTCTCTCACCCTATCTCTCTCTCCCCCAGTCTCTCTTTCCTTTCTCCTTTCTTTCTTTCACCCTTCTATCTCTCTCTCACGCTATCTTTCGTTCTCTCTCGCTCTCTCACCTTTTTCTCTCTCTCTCACCCAGTCTCTACCTTTCGTTCTCTTTCTCTCCTTTCTTTCCCCGCTATCCCTCTCTCTCTCCGCTATCTTTCGTTCTCTCTCGCTCTCTCTCACCCCTATCTCTCCTCTCTCTCTCACCCAGTCTCTCCCTTTCCTTTCTCTCGCTTTCTTTCACTCGCTATCCCTCTCGCACGCTATCTTTCGTTCTCTCTCTCGCTCTCTCTCTCACCCGTTATCTCTCTCTCACCCAGTCTCTCCCTTTCGCTTTCTCTCGCTTTCTTTCACTCGCTATCCCTCTCGCACGCTATCTTTCGTTCTCTGTCGCTCTCTCTCACTCTCTCTCACTCTATCTCTCACTCACGTTATCTCTCTCTCTCTCACCCAGTCTCTCCCTTTCGCTTTCTTTCACCCGCTATCTCTCTTGCACTCTATCCTTCGTTCTCTCTCGCTCTCTCTCATCCTATCTCTCACTCACCCTATCTCTCTCACCCTATCTCTCTCTTGCTTTTTCTCACTTTCTTTCAAACGCTATCTCTCTCGTACGCTCACTCTCGTTCTCTCTCGCTCTCTCTCTCACACACACGCGCACGCATACACACACACACACTCATAAACTGTAATTAAGATCTGATCGCCATATTTGCAGTATAAACCACAGATGGACTCTGAGTATTCTGAATAAGCGAAGATGTACCGTTTTTCGCCGTCTGCAATAAAAAAATGTCTCGCCGTTCTACCAGGCGGGTTTTCTCAGAAACGAGAAACCAGTCTAATCTATCTATCTATCTCTCTATATATATATACTTGTAGAAAACACAAATATATTAAGTTCGTCCACCTGTAAAAAAGATTAAAAATAATGGAAGCTTTAATAATAAAAAAGAAAAGGCCAACTCTTAACAATATTAACGACGAACAAAGCCACAATGTGCTAACGGTATTCGGAAATTAAAAACATCCCTACCACACACTAAGACAGAACGCACACACTCAATTAGGCTGAAAAATCGAATCATCTTTGATAATGGCTAAATGTATAGCCGAAAGCGCTCGGAACTATAAAACATTTGGACAGTTTTTACACACTCTTTGTCCAGAAACGAAATCTCTCGTTCAAACACAAAAAAAAAAATTTAAAAAAAGCTTAAGCATAGTACCTTGTTTGTCGTTTTTAATGAAACATGCATCTCTCTCTCTCTCTCTCTCTCTCTCTCTCTATATATATATATATATATATATATATATATATATATATATATATATATATAAAAGTGAACATAAGTCAACACTTAGAGGCGACAGTTTGTTTCATGCCAGACGCAATCATCAGGCCACGAGTGCTCTTATTTTTCTCGGCTATTTATATATACGGGTCAGTGGTGCATTGTGTAATCTATATGCATTGCATAGTCTATTTTGGCGGTTATTTTACCGGAAGTCGTTTATTTGTTTATTAATTTATTTGTGTTAAATTATTTTGCTTGTTTTTACTTATTTTTATTTTTTTTTTATTTTAATCGGTGTTTTTATTAATGTAGTAAAATTTGTTTATATCGCTTATTTAATAGTTTTGTTTTGATTTGAGAAGATAATTAATGCTATTTATTCAATTTTGGATTTGATTGTTGTAGCTTATTTTATCTATTATTTTGGCGGGAGCAGTTTTTAATTTATTTATTACTTCATGTATTTATTTGGATTGATTATCTTTATTTGTTTTTTTTTTTTTTTTGTTTTTTCTAACCGTTATATTTTTTGGTTTGATTTTTATAGTCTAATATTTTGGTCCTAATGGTTTGTTAATTTGTATATTATTTACTTTATTAATTTGGGTTCATTGATTTTGTTTTTCATTTTTTATTTAATTATTCTATTTCGTCTATTCTAAAGGGTGTGATTTGGTCATTTGTTTGGGTTAATTTATTTTGATTATTTTATTGTTTATTTAATATTATTAGCTATAAATGTTATATAACGATAAAAGAAAAAAATACTACGGTACTTAAAATTCGAAAACCGAGAAGAGTAAATAAAAATATACAGTATAATAAATAAATAATAAAAAACAAGTAAAATAAATTAAATTAAATTCATCCAAATAAATACATAAACTAATAAACCGATCCCAAAAAAGTACCACTGACCCGTGTATATAAATAGTCGAGAAAAATAACAGCACTCGTGGCCTGACGATTGCGTCTAGCATGAAACAGACTGTCGCCTCTAAGTGTTGACTTCTATGTTCACTTTTATATTTACACATGCACTATTGAGCACTTTATTCCATAAATATAGCACAACTTAAGACTATATTTCTTCACACACACATATATATATATATATATATATATATATATATATATATATATATATATATATAGAGAGATAGATAGATAGATATATAATATTAGTAGTCAACATATATATATATATATATATATATATATATATATATATATATATATATATTGCAGACCAGATGATGTCATCTTCCGATTTGAATTTAGACACCCCAACCTTACCCTGACTTGACCTCTTTGAATGTAACTGACATATTAATACAAATTATTAACCCTTACGCCCCCTTTTTTTTTTAAATAATTGCTCTAGCCGTTACCATAGTAATTTTAATTTTAATAATGAATACCATTAGAAAATGAATATATTTCAGGAATTAGTTATTCCAAAAAAAAAAAAATTTCGCTTGAAGATGGAACAGAGCATGGTACTTTAATTCAATTTAATTTAAATAATTCCATTGAAGTTTTCGGCTCTTGTTTTCAAACATAAACCTTTTATGTAGCGTGTTGGAATCAAATTTTTAAATAAATAATTATATTTATGGTCTACTTTTGTATCGAGCACTAATCGTTTTTAAAATAATAACAAAAAATACTAAAGAACTTTGGACTATTTACCTAACGAGTTCTTTCCTATTTCTATACATATTTACACATATATATATATATATATATATATATATATATATATATATATATATATATATATATATATATATATATATAAATTTCAAGAGGATAGATTCAGGTAGAGCTCAGGACAGAGCAAGAATATAATATAATACAAAGGCTCAAACACTAATATTCCATGGTTATAATTGATTACATTGTAATCGTAATCATGACCAATTTATCAGACCTACAAATTCAAAAAGCTTTGAATTTATAGGTCTGATGAATAATAAATTATAACCATCGAATATAGTTTTTTTGAGCTTTATATATTTATATATATATATATATATATATATATATATATATATATATATATATATATATATATATATATATATATAATTATGCATTTGAACAGCAAACATGCTTTTAAACATTTAAATAAAATAATAAATTTATAAATAGCAACACTCCCTTACAAAAAAAAAAAATTAAATCAACTAGGATAATCTATCAATTGTCGAATAAACTAATAATCCCCATTGGAAGTACGACAACTGTCTTTCGAGTTATAACAAGCCACTTAAATGATAAGCCATAAAAAAAAACATCTTCACAGTCACAAACAACTGCCTGTCCCTATTAGAAAAATTAGGTTCATAACAACTCTATTTTACAGAAATTTACGAGCGGATGAAGGCTAAAAATTATGGAGGCTCATTATATAAAACAATTCGACCCAAGCATCATTACTTTTTTAAGAATAGTTCGCGTTGGTTGGTGTTCTTCCAAGAAGACAATCCAACGTAAAGTCATGACGTATCCCAAAGATTACTACCATTTTTATACATACACCCTAGAACAGGAACACCTAAAAATGTAATCAACTGAATTTTTTAAAATGTTCGAAAGCGCTTGGGGGAGTAACCATTATGGAAACTTTTTACACTCTCTTAGACTTTCAGGAGAAAGCTTTAAGAAGCCTTACGCGATGTTCCTTGACACGGTAGGATAATGGATAGCGACTCAAATTGAGGAATCGGAGAGCCGAGTTCTAATTCCAATCAAATTCATTAGATTTACTTATGCGCTAATACCCTTGGGAAATGTATGGATCCTCTTCTTCTCTCTGTCCAGCTGTGGTTAAATAGCAAGTCAGACCGGATGTTATAGCCTTGGATGGCAACTGGTCTACCGTAGAAAGATATGGCAAACTACTGCTGGAAAAAAATCTGCCTCGTCTGTCATGTATCGAAAGATACATGAACGGCTAACGCATGGCACATAACTGACTGACTTTCCTTGTCAGTCAATTTTCAACGACATGTCACCTTGTAGCGTTAGATTTAAAAGTTTAAAAGAGAAAGGGCAACATGTAAATAAAAATTGAAGATCCCAAGTTCAGACAAGTGAAGAATTTAAATATCTGAGAAGTGTTAATGGATCGTGCGATGCCAAAATCCGAAGACGTATTGGTAGAGCGAAAGATGCGATACAAAAGCTAAATAAAGTATAAGGAAATTGGAAAATTTCATCAGAAACAAAGAGTGCTGAACTGTTACGTAATATAAGTGTCACTATATGGCAGGGAATATTGGACAATCTACTTACAAGAGATTTGATGTAACAGAAATGTAGTTCTACAGAAGGATGCTGAGAATGGCATTGATTAAAGCAACGACAAAGTTTTAAGGGAAATAGAAACAAAACGGGCCCAGCCATTACTGCCATTCACCTAGAGCTGCGCGTCCTGGGCAAGACGATAAACTACGTCCAACAGCAAGGTCTCTGATAGTACGTTTTAGACAAAATAATGTTACCAGCTGAACGTTTTTGAAAAAATATTACCAGCTATACGTTTCTTGAAAAAAATACCAGCTATACATTTTTGGGAAAGAAAAAAAAAACATTAACAGAAATGGATTTTTGACAAAACAAAAATATTACCAGACAAAAAAGTTGTCGGCATTAAATGACCCATTGAGGTTGATATGCCGTAAACCAAAATAAACCAAACTAAACCAACCTAGAGCTGGGGGTAGACGAGATGGGTTCATAAATTTCACCAAGGGTTTTTGTGGGAGCGAATGTCAAAAACTCGACTGGAATCTGATTCCAATTTCTCATCCCGAGGGTATTAATAAAAAAATTGGATGGCTTCAAAAAATAAGCAAAATATTAAGGAACATTGTACTGAACTGTTATGTAGCGTCAGTTTTCCTGTAAGGCAGTAAATGCTGGAGAGTCTCCTCACAAATGAAGAAGAGATATGACGCAGCAGAAACGTCGTTCTGGAAAAGGTGATGAAGATAACATGAACTGAAGATGTGAAAAAACTAGGATGTTTTGGGTAAAGCGAAAGCGTACAGGACACTTATATCTAACATCAGAAAGAGATAGCTGAAATTACTAGGGTTCCATTTGAGGAAAAGGAGTTGAAACGTTTTTATACTCACAAGGTAGATTGAAGGAAAGAGGAAAGAACACAGGAAAGCAATGGATAATCTATATACCAATCTTGAGTAAAAGGATGGCAGAACAAGGTTTAGGAGAGGTTTAAAAAAAAAGACAGTTTATTAAGAGCTACAAAGGATAGAAAATTATGGAGAGCAATGATTGTCAATGCCATGAAGGAACACAGTAGCAGCAGCGGCAGCAGCAGCAGCAGAAGAAGAAGAAGAAGAAGAAGAAGAAGATCGAATTTGGCTGACTTACTGGTGTTTGTGAGCCAGAGGTAAAACTAACCTAAATAGATAACACCTATCTCTCGTTTTTTTTTTTTTTTTTTTTTTAAATAATAACTGTATTTTCTATCTTCCCATTCACAAATCTATTTAATCAATGAATAACTCAATCACGTGGTTATTCGTGTGTTTCTTGCTTTGTTTTCATTCGTGTTCGTTAAATTCCGCCTATTCGCTGAATTCGTGTCAATCAAATGGAGGCAGAAATAAAAGTTCCCGCAGTTTTGTTGAAAGTAACGGATCTAAAAAGGTAAAATAATACAGTAATACAGCAAAGAGTCGTCGCGAGTCTGAAGAATCCTTACCTCTCTTAGAAGCAGTTAACCCCGCTCCTCTGTGTCAACATAGCGACAAGCTGTCATGAGAATCTTTATGCATCGCTACGTTTTGATTTGCCAGTGTTTGTCTTCGAAATCAGAGGTTGCAATTAGTATCTACAAGGGAAGCAGTTCCTTCTATTTATTACCATGGAAGCGACAACAGATACACAAAGCACAATAGCACGGTTTTATTAAATGCAATTTCTTCTCGCCAAAGAAATAATGCCGGATTCTTTTCACGGTAGCAATGTCGTTATTAGTAAATCTTTCGCGTGGTCGTTCTTCTGCTACTGATTAAATACAGTACTCACACCACTAACCGTGCTCACATCCCCTCCATGGTTTCCATACACTTTCATCAAACGTCATTTGTTATCAATAGGTGCAATTCGTCCTGTATGGAGGCATCCAATGACACAACTATGCCTTCTTGTTATTATGGGATGATAGATATGTACATGAATAGCACTAAAGTTCTACAGGTGAAAAGTCTACCTACGAGAGATTATGGTGCATGTGTTGTCAATGTAAGAATTAAAGATGGAATCTGGTAAAGATTATGAGAATTCATAAGCAACATGGATTTTAGATAGAAGTCCTTGGTAATTATTGGGTTAGATATTTAAACGTTATATAATAAATAATAAATGTATTTATTAGGACAATTAAGTGGTATGTAACACCATTTTAATGGCATTTTCGATTTGTTCATTGTTCCCCTGAGTGTATCTAGTTAGAATATTAATAGGTTTATGGGCTATCTATCTATCTATCTATCTATCTATCTATCTATCTATCTATCTATCTGATTCTTATTCTATCTATTTATCTATACCTATATATTGGTGTGCGTTTTGTGTCTGTAAAGGGACATTAGATAAAGGAAGGCTCAAAAAGATAGACTCACGAATAAAATCTAAAAACAAAAGTAAAGAGAGAAAAAAGGGAAAGAAAGAAATAAAGAAGGAAATATGAAATAAGAAAGAAAGAAAGAAAGAAAGAAATCTAAAACAAGGAAAGAAAAAAACAAAAAGAAAGAAGCAAGAAAAACAAAGAATGAAATCTGAAACAAGGAAAGAAAAGAAAAGGAAATGAAGAAGCGATAAAAAGAAAGAAGGAGAAAAAGAATGAAAGAAAGAAAGAAAGAAAGAAATGAAATCTGAAATAAGGAAAGAAAAAAGCAAAAGAAAGAAAGAAACAAGAAAAAGAAAGAAAGAAATGTAATCTAAAACGAGGAAAGAAAAGAAAAAGAAATGAAGCAGCAAGAAAAAAAGGAAGAAAGAAAGAAAATACGAAAGACGGAAAGGTAGAAAGAAATAAGGAAAAAGCAAAATAGAAGAAAAAGAGAAATAATTAAAAAAAAAGGGGGGGGTGAAACGAAAGAAAAAAAAAGAAATAATAAAAAGAAAGGAAAATAAAGAAAGCAAGCGCGTAAACAAGAAAGAATGAAAAAAAGATTTTAATAAATAAATTGAAAGGCATCCTGTCGTATACACAGAAAGGGATATATCAATTTTGCTTTTACAAAGAAATCTGGGCTGTATATATATTTTACCATAATACACACACACACACACACACACATACACACACACACACACACACACACATATATATATATATATATATATATATATATATATATATATATGATATCATATAATATAATAGCAAACATTGAATTAATTTATCACTATATTTCCACTACCGGCAAGACGCTAGCTTTTGATAAGCGCCTCAATATTTCATGCTGTGTCTATTTCAAGGAAGCCTTATTACTTGTACAAGTTCATCGCAATTTTCACAATGATGCATTCACTTTCACTTTCAATTTAATTTTCAATTTCCACCTCCGCGATTATCATCGTAGTTATTTCAGCACTAACGGAAATGTAGTTTCACTTTCCACCCCCCCCCCACACACACTTTTGCCGAGGCAGAGGGGTTGTCTTTTCCCCATGGAAAATGTCTTCTGTTTCTTCCTATGTCTGTTCTTACCACAAAGATTGCTTTCATTGTGACATCTTCTGCTCTCTCTCCCTTCATTCTCAGTGGGTTTTTTTTTTGTTTGTTTTTGTTTTTGTTTTTTTTATTTGCTTATGTGTTAAACCGTCTTTTGTTGTACGAAATTTGACCGACATTTTATCATAATAGATTTCTCGTTCACCATTCAATTTATTCGGGAAATAGATTGCTTTCACTTTTGTTTTCTTTTAGGAGTCGAATTCTATTGTAATAAATTTAGAAATGTGTATTGACCAAAGAAAAGCACAGATAGCTCCATCGAAGTGCCTTTCCCTCATTTTCAGTAACATAACAACAAGCTGTTATTCACATGACAGGTTGTGATATCACATGACTAAGTACCCGTCCATGAAGTGGATTTGGCGTAATAATCCACATAGAACACGTTATCTAGCATTTAGTTTATAGGTCAAGTTTTAAAAAATAATGTCCGATTTTAGAATCAACTTTTATTCTCAATTAAAAAATAAACGTTGTTTAAATTATTTCGATATAATGGAATATGCATACACCTGAGGTTCCCTCTCACTGGAATATGATTGGCTGGTGTCCGTCATAAATACAGGCGGACGTGTAGGTACGACAGAGTTTAAGTCTATGACGACGCCCATTGGACTACGCCATTGGTTATCCTATTGGTCTACACCTATTACCTGCGACTACGACGAGTACCAGTCGATTACTGCTACCGTGTACTACTTGGTTACAGCAGCCAAAACCACTTAGCTACTTCGATCAAATATATCCCTTTTCGGGACATATATTTAATTCAGGAATAACAGTTGATTTTAAAATCTTTTGTGATGTCAACGAACACTTTATATTTTATAGAATCCAATAATTAATACCAGGGATTTTATTAAACTATAATAATGGAATTTTTTAGAAAAAAATAATGTTTGTGATGTCAACGAACAGTCGTTGCCACTTTTGTGATGTCAACGAATACTCGTTGTCACTTTCGTAATGCTCGTTGTAGCAGAGACTTTGTAATCGCAGATACAACAATAGTAACGCCGTTGAACAATACTGGTGTCTGACGCCTTCTAATAACACTAATAGTCATTGCACGATAATACTCGCTCGAATACTAATCCGTATAAGTGATCCGAACAGAGAAATAGTATAGTGAATAGATAGAGATAGAGGATAGTGTAGAAAGAGTGATCAGTATAGTAATAGAGGATAGAATAGAAATAGTGATCGCGCTAATACATTTTCTTTACTATCATGTGATCTAATTATTCAAAACGGGATCGCCTGTATTTGCTCTCTGGTGATCTGTGTTCAAACTCCAGTGTCGTTACCGACAATTTATTCCTTTATAACACAATTATTATTCTGAAAAGTAATCAGCCGGAATGAGAACAATTTCTGCAACAGAGTTGCAAAATTATTTATACTTTTACGATAAAACTATAAATATATATATATATATATATATATATATATATATATATATATATATATATATAGTATTTGTATTTCTGACATGAGGTATTATGCATACTATTTATAGTATTCGAACTATTGTCCTCATCTTTGTTGCCATATTTATCACAACGCCTTTATCTACTGTGTAATGTGTCCTTAAGGTTGGTTAGATCCAGTGACAGGACCTAAAGAGCTGTGAGTTCAATACCTGGTTAAGTCAGTGGAGAATTTGGTGAGGTGAATTAACCGAAGATAACTTATAACTGACATCCTTTAGACATGGCACGTGGAACTAAAACAGTGTACCCCATCGAGCGAAATAAAGAGTTTCAGTTCGACATTCCAACCACCTGAAGAAGGCCGGGGCGTACCGAAACGTTTTGATGAATATGGCAACAAAGAAGAGGACACTAGTCCGAAGAATTTAAAAAACTATAGGTTTATACACCAAGAAATCTTTGAAGGTATTTTCTGCATCTTCTTCGCAATAGATCAGGGGAATATGGTAGATGTGGCAAAGTCTGGTATCCCAAGTTGTTGAAATTCTGCAATGCCATCGTAGCAACATTTGGCCGAGCATTGTCATAAAGCAGAATTGAATCTCGTCTTTTAACCAGCACCGGCCGCATTCTGCTTAACTGAATGTGCTTTTCATCCAGTTGCTGGCAGTAAACTTCGGCAGTGAATCTCTGGCAAGATTCCAGAAAGCTGTAATAGATAATACCAATGGCAGATCATTAGACAGTCGCCATATTCTTCTGTTTATCCAGTTTCGGTTTTGGAAAGCTTTTGCTTACTTAGTTATTATCCATGTCGTTTACGATTACCATAAAAGCTCCATTTCTCACCACAAGTTACTATTCGATCGAGGAATGGACAGTTAAAATTCCTCAGATGCTGAATCGAACGCACTTCAAAACTTCGAACTACTTGATTTTCACGAGTTCATGTGGAAACGATTAACGGGGATTATCCCTTGGCAATTTCCTTGAAATGTTTAGATATTGTTGAAATACTGATACACATCATCAGAGAAATTTAGCTTAGATTTTTTGAACTGGAATATGTTCAGATTATCAGTTGAGATGTTGACTATCAACTGCAGCTGGACGTCCTATACCAATTTGGTTTTCAAGACTCGTATCCCTACTGCGGAACTTCAGTATCCATCGTCGTTCTATCCGTTGACAAATTGATCCTACATTTCATGTTGACAGTGGCAGCACTTTGAGAATCATTGTGACCAACCTTAAATTCATGCAAAACTGTAAACGAATCACTTTTTTATTCATGTTCAATATAAGGAGAATATAAAGTTTTAAAATCATATTTTGAAAAAAAAAAAACTGGTTTGGTTTTCTTTTACGGCATATCAATCTCAATGGATTATTTAATGCCGTCAAGATTTTTAGGATAGATTCGTATGAATAGAATATGTATTCTTTGGTTAAGATTGGTTTGGTTTATTTTGTTTTACGGCATATCAACCTCAATGGGTTATTTAATTCCGACAAAATTTTTAGGATAGATTCGTATGAATAGAATATGTATTCTTTGGTTTAGATCGGTTTGGTTTATTTTGTTTTACGGCATATCAACCTCAATGGGTTATTTAATGCTGACAACATTTTTAGGATAGATTTATGAATAGAATATGTATTCTTTGGTTTAGATTGGTTTGGTTTATTTTGTTTTACGGCATATCATTTTTCAATGGGTTATTTAAGACAACATTTTTGGATAGATTCGTTTGAATAGAATATGTATTCTTTGGAAATTGGTTTGGTTTATTTTTTTTTTTCGGCATATCAACGTAAATGGGTTATTTAATGCAGACAAGATTTTAGGATAGATTCATTATGAATAGAATATGTATTCTTTGGTTTTTATCGGTTTGCTTTATTTTGTTTTAAGTTCATATCAACCTCAATGGGTTATTTAATTGACAACATTTTTAGGATAAATTGTATGAATAGAATATGTATTCTTTGGTTTAGATTGGTTTGGTTTATTTTTGTTTTACGGCATATCAACCTCAATGGGTTATTTAAGACAAGATTTTTTGGGATTTCGTATGAATAGAATATGTATTCTTTGGTTTAGATTGGTTTGGTTTATTTTTGTTTTACGGCATATCAACCTAAATGGGTTAAAAAAACATTAATTTTAGGATAGATTCGTATGAATAGAATATGTAACTTTGGTTTAGATTGGTTTGGTTTATTTTGTTTTTACGGCATATCAACCTCAATGGGTTATTTAATGCCGACAACATTTTGCGGATAGATTCGTATGAATAGAATATGTATTCTTTGGTTTAATTGGTTTGGTTTACGATTTTGCATTATCAACCCTTTTTCATTTATTTAATGCCGACAAGATTTTCCTGATTCGTATGAATAG